AAATAATGTCAAAAAATCATCCACCCACCCCCCAAATGTGAGGTGTCAGTAGGGGTTCAGAACCCCTACCTGTACACCAATCATGACTGAATCCCTACCTGTACACCAATCACGACTATTGATATTTATCCAATCTCAAAGATACAATATAAGTCGCAATCATCAATTGATTTTATTTGGTGATAACAACTCTTAGTTCCAATTGTTCATCTTTTAATTCTAATTGTTCACGATATCTTTCTTGGAAAGTTCAAATTGCAAATCTTTGAAAATCTGAAAATTCGCAAGTTTGTGACTTTTCTGAAAACTGCAACCGCCAATTTTATAACTGAATTTTGAAAATTTAGACACACCTACAATGCTCCACTATAAGCCAATTGCATTTGTTGAAGAATAATTAAAATAAATATGTATTTCTTCTTTAGCATTTTAAAGTTTTTTGACCCATTAATTTAAGTTTAAGGCCCTGGTTGGTACTGATTCTTAAAATTAATTTTTTAATTGTTAGAGAGAAAAGCGAATCTCACCTATAAGTGAAAAAGTCAAAAATAACGACTGATCATGTTAAATAACGATTAAAAAATTGATTTTTTGACCTGAAAAATTAGAACCAGATGGGGGCTAAGTAATATATGCGTAATAACTTGTTTGAACTTTCAAGGTGGAAAAATCTTAACCCAATCCACAAGTTACCATCTATACTAACTAACAAAGACAATATTTTAATGGATGAATAATTGACTTTTTGTTTTTATGAACACGGCATCGACCAGGAAATAGTCCTCATTTCGCAAATTCTCATTGGTTGTTGGCCAAAAGCCAAAGATACAATTTTTTTTCGTTACCTACTCAATGTTTGTATCAAAAGCTTTATCAAACATTCCCTCTATGTTCAATTCGCCTGTGCGTATAAAGGTACTAGAATACAAGAGTGTGCCTTTTGAACAACGACAATAATTTCTACAATAATGTTAGGTACAAATACAATCAAACACTAATTTTCACAATACATTAGATAGTACGGAAATCCGGGTTTGTTCAATACTACATCCTCCCAGACACATCATAAATACTTTCCACAACAAGACATGATTTAGAAAAGAATAATGCTATCTGCAGTTATTCACTAGTCACTATAGTAGTCGTTCTACGAGGTATACACATGGACTTTTCTATATGTATTTCACGTAGGACGATTAGCGTAGTGAGGAACTACGAATAATATTACTCTTTAGAAAAAGGGACAAAAACAGAAAGGAAGAAAAATGAAATTTAAATGATGGAGAAGTAGATTTCCAAATCAAGAAGAAGGGATAGTAACACAACGCATCATATTCTTGAATTCGAAGAAATCTACACGTCCATCATGGTTGCTATCGACTGACGAAATCATCTGCTCAACCCTGTCGATTTCTCCACCTTCCTGCAATCCTAACTTGCCTAACACCACTTGCAACTCCCGGGCCGAAATGTATCCGTCCCCATCCTCATCGAAAACCTTGAACGCCTCGGACAAATCAGATTCGTCCTGCGCTTCCTCATCAACACCCTCATCCAATCCAAAAAACACATTGTTCAACGAAACGTGTAGATCCTCGAAATCTTTGTATGTAAGGCCCGCGTTTCCAGGTTTAATATGTGATTGGATCATTGATTCTAGTTCAGACATATCAGTGTTCAGGCCGAGGAGGCCGAGAGCCTGGCCTAGCTCGTCAAGAGTGATCATGCCATCATTATTTTTGTCGAAAATATCAAAGATTCGACGTAGACGGACCTTGTTGAGACTCGGGCTGCGGAGGCGGAAAGAGGAGGAACTAATATTCCCCCCACCGAGGCCACGATTGCTTTGAGCTGCACGACCATTACCAGCTGTTTCCATGGCTTCCCTGTCTATCTATTTCGCTTGTGTCTCCTTAATTTTCTTGAACTAATACTAATAATATGAACGTGTTTGTATATTTTAAGGTTGTCCTGAGATTGAATGGATTACAAAAGATGAAATGTGAGCCCTCTATATTGTGGAAAGCTACGCGTATTTAACGCTAATTTTCTGGTTCAAAACTTGCTGTTCAATGGTCATCCCTTGTCTATTTGAATAGGCTGCAATAATTGTAAGGGGAAGAAGCCCAATTTGGCTGTCTATTCGCATAGTTTATTAATTAAAACAAGACTTAATCAAATTGATTTGATTTCTTTTAATCATATTCACATGATCAGTTGAACTAACTAAAAGTTAATTAATGAGATTATAACAATGCAAAAAGCGATGTAAAACATTTATAAGTTTTGTTTCACATTTAAACAGCACGTCATGAGTCATGAGGTGGAAGCTTTATTCCTTTTAATTAGTTAATAAACATGGAACAAGTGCAAAGTGTGTGTTTGAACCACATTATTTTGAAAGAATGTATTTTGGAATAGTAGATTAACGGAGAATGTGTGATTAAAAAATGAGGAAAAATTTTATATTTGCGTGTAATATTATTTTACTGAAGAATGTGTTGTTAAAATGACGTCAAATCATCGTTTAAGAATGTATTTTTTTTTAAATGTAACTCAGACAGGGTTAAAAATAAATATATGTAAAGTTTGAGATAAATTTTGTGAAAAGTGAATATTTGAAGAATGCGTGATTAAAAATAGAAAAAAAAAAGAGTTACGGATTTACGTTCAAAAATATTTTATTGAGAGAACATATAATCGAAAATGAGCTTGGATAAAAATAGACTATAAAGAATATATATCAAATAGGGGTTAAGCTAAAAGTAAGGCACATGTTTTATATAAAATTAATGGTTATGCTACATACATATCAAGACGTTCATAACGATGTCAACCCCCTCGTATGGAAGGGGACTCACTTTGAAGTGGATACTACATTATGTATAAATAGTATATTCCTAAAATTAATTCGAAGTAGGCCTCCTTCATGTGAGGAGGTGGACACCGTTATGAACACTACATTGTACAAATAGTACATTCTTAAAATTAATTAAGAAAATGTGCATAAAGATGTCGTTTGTCTCATTCTTGGAAATTATGCTCACCCTACTTTAATCAAATCTTTATTAAGGACTTGTACAAAATAAAATAAAAAAGGTTCATGTGCAAATGATCCAATTCAAAGGTTCATGAATTTAATCCACTTTTTGAATGTCACATGTTTGCCCATCTCTCTAAGTATGGCAATTCGCTAACACCACCACGTTACACACAATAATTTAGTGTATGATTGAGACATTTTCCAACCCACTAACTGTACACAACAGCTATGGTTTTTGACGAGCAATAAGAACTTAACTAATTTAATTCCATTGGCGAAAGTAATGGATTGAAAAGAGAGAGAATCCTTGGAGCTTAAGGCCGAAGAAGACTTATAAGTTCTGAGTGTGGATCGAGTTGTGTCACGTGTGATTGTTGAGAAATAATTATAAATTTAAAGATGATGTGATCCTTGTTTAATTGACTTAGATTATTTACAATTTTTTAGATATTAATATGCAATTTGTATCTGGTGCTTTAAGACCATGATCCATACGGTGGACGAGTAAGAGCCTTTTTCTACTTTTATCTTTTTAAGAATATAGAAAAATAATAAAAAACACAGGGTAAGAGAGAAATAATAATAATAATAATAATAATAAGTGAAGAAGAAGCTATTAGATTGAAGCGCGTTTGACCTTGGAATTTTGTGCATGCCAAAAACATGGGCCGCTCGGGCCAGGCCACCTAAAGTGTGGGACGAATAATGCTTCCAGAAAGTAGAAACAATAACAAAAGGATTGATCGTGAAATTAGGCCCACCACCATAAAAAAAAGTTTACATTCACACCGACTTTATAATTTCTGCAAAAAATTTTCTTTCAAAAATAGTACACTCCACATTGAGTTCAGATTTGATGTCCAAAAATAGCTGTCAAATTTATTGTCTACCAATGAATCGTTGACACTTCATTTTACACGTATTTTTAAGCACAAGTGGCAGTGAAAGAAAATTTAAACATATTAATTTATGGGGATGTATTCAATTGAAATTTTTGAAAACTTTGATGGACTTTTTTTAAATAATGACTTCTGTGGATTTTATGGATTTTTTTATAGATTTGTATGGTATTAGTGAAAGTTCTTCGTACAGTTTTATGGACTTTCATTTTAAAAATTTTATAGACTTTTATATAATTCAAATGAATTTTGAAAACTTTCATTCGAAATAGAATTCTCGTTGAAATAAAGTATTGTTTCCTACAATTTCTCTTTTCATTTCCCTTCATTTTCCCAAATAATAAAATAAGAAAAATTAAAAGAATAAAAATTTAAGACCTTAAGCAAATAAATAATAATTAAAGTTATATATATATATATATGATAAAAATAAATTTAATATTAAATATTATTAATGTACTATACTTTTAAAAATAAATAAAAATCAATAATTATAAATTTTTCATATAAAATTTTATAATTTAATAAAAATATAGATATTTTTCACAAAAAATTAATGAAAAAAGAAAAAGTTACAAGAATCCAATTTAATGAGAGACAAAATCTCCCAAAATTTTTTGTTTTTTTACAAGAATCCAACTTTTTCTTGTGAAAGTCTCTGAAAATATCATGATTCATTGAGAGAAATTTTTTGAGATTTTATATGAGTATTTTCTGCTAAAAAGTTAGTACTTTAGAAATTTATAAAATGTATGAAAAGAGAGAATCCTTGGAGCTTAAGGCCAAAGAAGACTTACAAGTTCTGAGTGTGAATCGAGTTGTGTCACGTGTGTTTGTTGAGAAATAATTATAATTTTAAAGATGATGTGGTCCTTGTTTAATTGACTTAGATTATTTACAATTTTCTAGATATTAATATGCAATTTGTATTTGGCGCTTTAAGACCGTGATCCATATGATGGACGAGTAAGAGCCTTTTTCTATTTCTATCTTTTGAAGAATATAAAAATAATAATAAAAAACACAGGGTAAGGGAAAAATAATAATAATAATAATAAGTGAAGAAGAAGCTATTAGATTGAAGCGCGTCTAACCTCGGAATTTTGTGCATTCCGAAAACATGGGCCGCTCGGGCCAGGCCACCTAAAGTATGGGACGAATAATGCTTACACAAAGTAGAAACAATAACAAAAGGATTGATCGTGAAATTAGGCCCACCACCATAAAAAAAAGTTTACATTCACACTGACTTTATAATTTCTGCAAAAAAAATTTCTTTCAAAAAGAGTTGAGATTTGATGCCAACAAATAGCTGTCAAATTTATTGTCCATCAATGATTCATTCACACATCATTTCACATGTATTTTTAAGCACAAGTGATAGTGAGAGAAAAGTTAAACTTATTAATTTATGAAAATGTATTCAATTGAGATTTTTGAAAACTTTGATGGAATTTTTTTGAGTGATGACTTTATAAATTTGTATAGAATTAGTGTAAGTTCTTCATTAAGTTTTATGGAATTTGATTTTAAATTTTTTATAATTTTTTATAGAATTCAAAAGACTTTTAAAGATTTTCATTGGAAATAGAATTGTCGTTGAAATTCTCACATACGAAGTGTAGTTTCCTACAATTCTCCTTTTCCTTCTTTTTCCCATATAATAAAATAAGAAAAATTAAAAGAATAGAAATTTAAGACCTTACGCAAATAAATAATAATTAAAGTTATAAATATATATGATAAACAATAAGTTTAATATTCAATATTATTAATATACTATACTTTTAAAAATAAATAAAAAATCAAAATTTAATTATAAAATTTTCGTATAAAATTTTATAATTTAATAAAATATAGACATTTTTCACAAAAAATGAATGAAAAAAGAAAAAGTTACAAAAATCCAATTTAATGAGAGACAAAATCTCCCAAAAAAATTTTGTTTTTTACAAGAATCTAATTTTTTCTGTGAAAGTCTCCGAAAATCTCGTGATTAATGAGATAAGAATTTTTAAATTTTATATAACTACTTTCTGTTTAAAAGTTGGCAATTCAGAGACTTTTATAAAAATTTCTAGAAGTAATTAAAATTTGAATACCCAAATACTTTAGAAACTTCTAAAAAGTTTTAGTTGAATACACTGTAACTTTTAATAATTTTTAGAGACTTTTTCAAAATTTCAATTGAATACACCGTGATTTTTAAAGACTTTTTGAAAGTCTATAAAAGTTTTAATCGAATACATCAATACTTTTAGAGAGTCTCAAAACGTCTACATTGAATATTCATAAGCTTTTTAAATCTCAAAAGATCATTAAAGATTTCAATTGAATACACCCCCTTAAAATAATGTGTCAATGAATTATTGAATGAATAGCAAATTTGATAACCAATTTTGAATAGCAGATCTCAACTTCCAATTTTTATGGCATGATTCTTATTCAATTTTCTTTTAATTATAACTAATACGATTTTGTCTGTAATTATCAATGTTTTAAAAATTGGACCGGATCAGGTGGTCTGACCGAGAAAATTGGGAACCGATTAGAAATTCGATTCAATTAAGGCTTAAAACTCGTTTAACTCAAAATCGAGAAAAGCCCATTTTATTTATTTGGTCTAATGACTAACCGGTGACCCGAAACTGGTTTATCCGATTTTGCCTGTTTTTATGAGGAAATTACACCCTTCCAGAGATTTCAAGTTCACTGTGCATAAATCATGGGCCCAACTATTTTACTCAAATGTCCGGTAATAGACTAATTAAATAAAAACTACTTATTTAAAATAAGCGCGATTTCGTAGTTAACGTACTTCAAATCTAATGTTTCTTCATTCTCTATCAAACGAGTGAAACTGCCCCCAAACTTCTCCCCACGATCTCTGATAAACTATTCCAGTAGTTACCAACCCCACAAATATCTCCGGTTAGTTATCCCACTTCGGCCTGTCAAGGAACTAATCTTCGTCACATGCCCAAAGCGAACTGAGTACATTCTTCGTCTATCCCATCACTCTGTCAAAAAATGTCCTATTTTACGGTCGACAAAAAAATGACTAAACTCAAGGCGATAAACGTCTATTCCACGCTAGAAAGGAGAGGAACGAGGAAGCG